CATTTTTTAATGAACGTGGCTCTGGAAAATTTAAAATAGCCCGTATCTTATTGGGAGACGGATAAACCTTATCATTCTCTATTACATGTCCAAGGTACTTTATTTTTGATTACAAAAGTTGACATTTACCTTTATTAATGTGTAAGCCGTATTCACTTGCAACTTCTGAAGAATTATCTGTAACCGTCTAATACCCTCTTTCGCATCAGACGCAACTATAATTAAATCGTCTAAATAAATCAATAAAATTCCGTCATTGACTAGAGGCCTAAAGATATGATTAATAAATCTTGGAAACACAGGCGGTGAGTTGCACAAACCAAAAGGCGCTTTTAAGAATTGATACTGACCCTGATAGGTGACAAAAGCGGTGTACTTACGGCTCTTTACATCTACGTCTACGTGAAAGAATCCATTCCTAAGGTCGATCGTACTGAATACACGAGCTTCTGCCAATCGATCAATTTGATTTTCGATTATCGGTAGCGGATATTTGTCTTTGACCATTATCTTATTTAACTTTCTGTAATCGACACAGAGTCGAGGAGAACCATCTTTCTTCTTAACAACTACTACAGGACTCGCGTACTCAGACGAGCATGGTTCAACAATCCCTGCGCTTATCCACTTATTCATCTGCTTTTCAACAACATTGCTTTCCTTCGGAGGCAATCGTCGTGGAGTCTGATAAATAGGCGTCTCATCCTTCAATGTGATACTTAACTTAATGTCAGTTGTCCTAGTTTTATTCGGTTTGTACTTTAACATCAGATCTTCTACTACGTTCTTAGATACCCTGTCGATTATCAAATCTGTGTGAATCGTTTCGTTATTTTCTGGCTGCAATTCAATTTGTGAGAGAAAAACTAAAGCGCTAGACTTATTAACTGTAATGCCATTCTGATTAATCGTTATTTTGGCTTGATTAATAAAATTAGTGCCGAAAATTATAGCGACGTTTAAAGCTTTAGAAGGGACTACATGGAACATTACAGGAAAATTAAAACTATCTACTGTAATAGTCGTTTGAAAATATCCAAGTGTCTTAATCTGACCTTGGGCAATACCCGTCAACAGCACTTCCGATTCCCATAGCTTTGAAACATTGATCGACTTGAAAATATCTTCACGCATTAAAGAGAGATGACTACCTGTGTCTAATAAAGTATAGAAACTCTTATCTTCAATTAAAATCTCCTTAAACATTCGACTTACGTTAACAGATTTTACTAGAACATTAGCCGCTGCCTGCATATTATCGGAATTATTCTTACCCGAACAGTTCTTTGACTCATGACCAAAATTATTACACTTAAAGCATTTCTTGTCCCGTTCTTTGAATTTACAAGTATTTGACTTGTGTCCGCTCTCTCCGCAGTTGTAGCAGCGTTCCGTCGTCTTCGATATTTTTTTCCGATCATCTCTGGAGGATTTGGCGTCGTCTCTTGCTGATTTGGCTGTCATTTCCTTCTTTGGGTTGCTTTTATTACCCGTAAAACTTCGTTCCTGCATCTTTTCATATGTACGAAGACGAGTTCTGAATTCATTGTAGTTTCGTGCTCCATACAACACTATCTTGTTATTGCTGTCAGGGATAACATCAATGACGTACTGGATGACCGCCTCGGTATCGACGTTTCCTTGAGAAGCCAACTCTCTCATGGTTAAATAATATTCTTGAAAGTTCTCATCCTTTTTTAACTTCCTTTTGGCTAACATCCGGTGAATGTCGGCGCTATTCACTTTGAGACTAAATTCATCCTTTAGTGCAGTTTTTAGTTTTTTCCAAGACTGTGTAGCACTTAGCCCACGTACAAACGTTTTGGCGACACCTTTGAGGGACTTACTGCCAAACACTAACTTTTGTATGTCATTCCCCTCGAACAAGGGTGCCAAATATTCAAAGTCTGTGATCCACCTCTCAATTGGATAATGGTCACTTCCATCAAACGGACGAATAGTGTCCTCGACATCTTTAAAATTAAAGGTTACCTTCGTGTTGTCTCGCTTTCTACGTCTTGGTGGGATTTGATCGCTTTCTGAATCAGCGCTACTATTTGAGGAAACATCTACGTTGTCGTTAGCTCGTCGATCATCCTCGTTATTATTCTGTCGAATTTTTTTTTGTGGTCGTTGCTGCTGCTCTGGCTCTTCTTCAGCTTCAATATCGTCATCGTCTTCGTGTGGTATTAAGTTGATGTCCATGAGTGCCCGTAGAATTCTCTGCTGCAACTCTTGTTTAGTACCGGCATAATCTAAATCGAGAATATTGCACATGGACGTCAAATCACCAATCGAAAAAGCAGCAGAGTACTCGAGTTTTGTACGAAATTCTTTTGATGCGTCGTCAAAATCAAAGCCGCGAAAACCACGCAACTGTTTACGGCTAGTGCAATCTCCGTCTTTCTCGAACGCGAGCCGATAAAGCGCATATACAGCTGGTCGTGACGATGTATTTTGTCAGCAACCGACTCGATTTGCCCGAGCGTTTCCATTATTTACTAATGACGTCTGTTTCAGTGAAAACAAAAATTGATCGTCGTAGGCCGTCTTCGTCATCCTCGTTGTCTTCGTCGCTGCGCTCTGCGAGAAGTCACGAAATTTGATCGTCGTAGGCCGTCTTCGTCGTCTTCGTCGCTGGCTCTGTGAGAAGCCACGAAAATTGATCGTCGTAGGCCGTCTTCGTCGTCCTCGTCGTTTTCGTTGCTGGCTCTGCGAGAAGCCACGAAAATTGATCGTTGTAGGCCGTCTCCGTCGTCCTCGTCATCTTCGTCGTTGCTCTCTGCGAGAGGTCACGTTATATCTCGCACGCTATATCCCGGACGAGCCCCCAATATTGTAGAAATTTGATTGGATATAATGTTCTAACACTGTAATTCCGTGTACAATAATAATATATTTAAGCGTGTAACAAGACTCTCGCATACAAAACAAAGCATTCTGAATCGTCAAAATTAACCTTACTCTTTCTTAACGGAAAAAGGAACTGAACTTTTCTCTCTAGTCAGCGCCGCTACGCTCTGTTCGCTCGCTCTCGCGGCAGATGCCAGAAGGACGGAGTCGCGAGGTAAGAACAACCAACAGCGCTCACAGGCGCGACTTTCAAAGATTTATTCACCTCTCTGATTTCAGCTAATCCTACCTTGAGTTCAGTTGAGAAATTACAATATTTAAAAACTAGCCTTGTCGGATCTGCAGCTCATTTACTCAATAGCTAGAGCTATTGAGTAAATGAGCTGCAGATCCGACAAGGCTAGTTTTTAAATATTGTAATTTCTCAACTGAACTCAAGGTAGGATTAGCTGAAATCAGAGAGGTGAATAAATCTTTGAAAGATAACCAATCTGCAGGTGTGCCATTAAATTTAGGTATGTCGATTCGTGGTAATCGAGCATGCTAATAAAAGGTTGGAAAGCTTGACGTCTGAGAAATAGATTGAGATGAGGCGGTTTTATGCATAGTCCTTTGTTCAGAATCGAGTATTATACTCATTTTCTCGACTGCCTCAAGGTAACATTCATGTGTCATGGAATATAGATTTTCTGAAAAATAGGAATATTTTTTTAACTGCGATTGTTCCTCTGGATTCAACTCAGTAGTTGCTAAGCTGATGGCTTCATGAGAAAGAGAGAATTTTTCCCAATTTTCTTTCAGAGAAGTGAGGCGAGCATTTACTCTATGAGAAGTGATATTTGATAACCCAACCTTGGTTAAGTTATCAACTGCGTTAGCAATTAAGTCCATCAGTATGAATTGCTGCTCTATTCGATTAGTAATGTGATTGAACTTCATCTTTACTGTCGCTCACCGTAAATATCCGGCTCGAAGGACCAAAAAATGTATAAAATCAGTATAATTTTAAAAAGTCTGTTCGCTCGCTCTCGCGGCAGATGCCAGAAGGACGGAGTCGCGAGGTAAGAACAACCAACAGCGCTCACAGGCGCGAGTAACAAAAAGTAAACAATGTGTATAAAATCAGTATAATTTTATAACGAAGGAAAGTTAGGTGAGCGACAATAGGGTAAATTAAACGAAAACAAGAAAGAAAAAAAAGAAAAGAAACAGAAATCTAATTAGTATATATAAAGAAACACAAACAATAAATTTGAAAAGTATTACATTTACTTAAAACAGGTATTTAATAAAGACGATTACAAAACGAACTCTTTAAAATAAACATAAAAGACTTAAAATTATTATAAGGTATAAACTACATGCTTTTTCAATACATTGTTAAAGCTATTATATGATTAAAATTCACAAGAGACTTATTTATAAATAACAGTTTAAGAATAAATGAAAATGAAAATTATCAACAAACCAATTCCAAGGTTAGAAAGAACTCTCAGAAACCTTAGAATGAAAGAATATACAATGAACTTCTGGTTTGTTATTTTTGCTGTAAAATTCTTAATGAATAATCTTTGAGATAACGGCAAAAACTATAGAGAGCTTCCGGAATGTTCGTCAGATAGATCCTCAGGCTAGAGAAATTTCCAGGGCCTGAAGGATCAGAAAACTATCTCAGATCTGAGAACGAAAATTAAAATCCAACCGGAAGTCTCTGTGCTCGCCTCGAGAGAGAAACAATACTTGCGAAAATTGCTATGATCCCATGACAATGGTTATGATCTTCGTTGTCGATTTGTTTCCAATAAAATCCATCAAATTCATTGATATCGACAGTTTTCCAAAATTTATGAGAGATTCTTATAAAGATGTTGAGATGTTGTGTAGGCTCAGATACACAATTACAGATCGTTTTTACTATAATAAATAATTATATAATTTATGACGGTTTTGATCAACACGTTGTCAACAACACAATTATTAATAAAAAGAGCTCAGGAACAAGTGAGAGTACAAGAGGAAGCAGGTCTAGCGCCACTCATCGCGGATATTGAAACTGGCGGATCGTTGCCGCTGCGATCATCAAACGATTTGCGCGGCATTTTTTGAACATTTCCGCCCGCCTTCGTCATTTCTAGTTGACGAACGAACTACAGTGAATCTACTGGGATGGGGAGAGGACAGAGTTTAACTACCGGTCGTTTCAGAGAGGTTGTTTGGGTGCGAACAGTGACCACTCTCGTATGCCCATCTTTCCCGGGATGAGTCTGAATAACTCGTCCCAGAGGCCATTTTGAAGGAGGATATCGTTCATCGATAACCAGAACAAGAGCGCCTTCCTTGAGTGATGGAGCAGATCGGCTCCACTTGTAAATGGCAAGATATCGCTGTAGGCATTCGGTAGACCACCGTGACCAAAAACTATCCAACATCTGACGAAGTAGTTGCCATCTAGAGAGACGTGAGCTCTTAACGATCTCAAGTGATGGCTCTGGGACGATAGCTAGTGTGCTTCCAATTAAGAAGTGACCCGGAGTTAACGCATTTAAGTCTTTTGGGTCGTCCGTGAGAAGGGTTAAAGGCCGCGAATTGAGAACAGCTTCAATTTGAGTCAACAATGTAGTCATCTCTTCATAAGTAAGAATGGTCTCACCAAGGACTCGCTTGAGGTGATGTTTCACAGATTTGACTTCTGCCTCCCACTTTCCCCCGAAGTGAGGAGCGGCAGGTGGAATAAACTTCCATTGAGTTCCGTCTTTGGCTAACATTGCTGCTAATCTTCCAAGTTTGTTTGAGGATGCGGCGAATAGATTTTGTAGTTCGACATCCGCGCCTTTGAAATTTGTGCCGCAATCGCTCATTAAGGTGGCGCAGATCCCTCGTCTTGCGGTGAATTGTTTATATGCAGCCATGAATGCGTCAGTAGAATAATCTGTAACGAGCTCAAGGTGGACGGCTGACGTGGAGTGACAGACGAAAAGAGCTAAATACGCTTTATAGGTTCGGGCGTTCTTCCCTTTCCAAGTCTTGATAGTAAAAGGTCCTGCATAGTCAACACCAGAGTTTAGAAATGGACGAGATGAGGTTAATTTCTCAACTGGAAGTTGTCCCATGATCTGTTGTGCTCGTTTTTGTCGGTATCGAGCACATCGCACGCACTTTAATATATGTGACCTCACAGGAGTTCGGCCTCCTATAATCCAGAATTCATTTCTTATGAAAGAGAGAGTTAGTCGCGTGCCTCCGTGCATCGTACGTAGATGTGCGTCAGATATTATGAGGGTGGTTAATGCTGATTCCTTAGGGATGATCAAGGGATGTTTGGCACTTGATGGCAAAAGAGAGGATTGGAGACGGCCCCCGATTCGCAACAATCCATTGGAGTCTGTAAAAGGTGTAAGCCGAAGAAGTGGATTAGATAGAGGTAGTGATTGTTTTTGAGAAAGAGTCTTAATTTCCTGTTGAAAATAATGTTGTTGGACTGCTTTGACCCAATAGAATTTTGCTGCTTCTAAAGCTTGTGGAGTTATTTGTCTAGTTCTACTTGAATCTTGCGTTCCTCGAAATCGATTGATTACTTGCTGACATATTGCAGTGATGCGTAATAATCGATTTAGGCTTGAGTATCGATTAAGGAGATTCCACGGCTTTAGTGATCTATCGCCTGTAATAGTTACTACTTGGATTGGTCGTTCTTCAAGGTTGTCTTTGGAATTTACTGTTTGCGGCTCTTCCGGCCACATTGAAGGATGTTGTCGTAGCCAATGAGGCCCCGTCCACCATACCGAGAGGTCAGACAATTGAGCAGGAGTTAACCCTCTAGTAGCGAGGCCGGCGGGGTTTTCTTGGCCTGGTACAAAATGCCAGATTGCTTGTGGTACGGTCTCTTGAATGTAACATACTCGGTTGTGAACGAAATCCTTCCACCGCGAAGGATGATTGTTTATCCAGGTTTGTGTGATAGATGAATCGGTCCAAAGATGTACAGGGACATGGTCAAGTTCTAAGATTCGTAGAACGTGAGATACTAATTTTGAAAGCAATACAGCTCCTGAGAGTTCCAGACGTGGAATGGTAAGTCTTTTAAGGGGAGCTACCTTAGTTTTAGAACAAACTAAATTTGTTTGTATCTCTCCTTTTGCAGAGATCGATTTTAGATAGATGACTGCAGACATCGCTTGCTGAGATGCATCACAAAATCCGTGAATTTCAATATCATCATTAGATTTGTACCCTAACCAACGAGGAAACGTTAGGCTTGGCATTGCTTTTAATTCTTCTACAAACGTTGTCCACCGGTTAGAGATGAGTGGAGGTAACGGGTCATCCCAGTCAAGTTTGATAGACCATAGTTCTTGAATGATAATCTTCGCTCTGACGATAAAAGGAGAGAGTAATCCGAGAGGGTCGAATAATTTAGCAATGGTTGACAATATTGCTCGTTTCGTCATTACTTTAGTAGGTGATAACTGCAGTGTGAAGTGGAAAGTGTCATTCGATGGTTTCCAGCATAGCCCGAGAGCATGAACAGTTATATCGTCTTCGATCTGCAGAGATGTTGCATTAATTTTTTTTTCGGATTGAATTGATTGGAGAATCGCAGGGTGGTTACTTGTCCATTTTTGGAGTAGAAAGCCGCCCGCCATGCAGAGTTTATGTAACTCCTGAACGATATCTTGTGCTTGTTGAATAGTGTCGGCTCCACCAAAAAGGTTGTCGACATAGCGTCCCTTTTCCAAAACAGGAGTGACTAGCGGGAATTTGTTCCCTTCGTCTTCTACCAGCTGCTTCAGTGTTCGCAGAGCACGAAATGGTGCACAAGCAAGACCATAGGTCACAGTAGTTAGCTGATAAGGAAGAAGGTTGTTGAATTTATTAATCCATAAGACGCGTTGAAAGTCCCAATCTTCTGGATGAACTTTAATTTGTCTGTACATCTTCTCGATGTCAGAAAAGAAAACGTAACAGAATTTTCGGAACCAGATGAGAACGTCAAATAGATCGCTCTATAACTTTGCTCCTGTGTGCAATATATCATTTAGTGAAATTCCGGTGGTAGTACGGCTGGATCCATTGAATACAACTCGTAATTTTGTGGTTAAACTCTGCTGACGAACGACCCCGTGATGTGGGAGATAGTAAACATGTGGAAGCTCTGATTTAGTTAAGCCTTCTGGCAGGAGCTTCATGTGGTGTAACTCCTCATATTCTTTCATGAATTGAGCGTAAGATTGCGCATATTGTTGATCGGATGCAAACTTCTTGGTTAAACCTTTGATCATTCGGACAGCCTTTATTCGAGAGTCGCCAAGTTTGTTAACATCGTCCTTGAATGGAAGTTTGACAATGTAACGTCCGTGAGCATCGCGCGCGTGAGTAGATTTAAAATGTTGCTCGCATTCTTGTTCTTCATTGGAGATTGAGGAATTCTTCCGAGATGGTATTTCTTCAAGTTCCCAAAAGCGATACAATAAATCATGAAGCTCTCTATCCATTGAGACATGATAACTGTGTTTGATAGCAGATGATTCGTTTGCGCCTGATGGACCAGAAATGATCCATCCGAATTTGGTTGATTGTGCAATAGGAGAATTACCGTTTCCTTTGATAATTCCTTCTTCGATTATCTGGCCGTATACATCAGCTCCTAATATTATATAGATTGGTCCAGGTATTGTAAAACTTGGATCGGCTAATTTTAATCCTTGAATGTGTGGTCATTCTGCTTTTTCAATTCTTACAGAAGGAATTGAAGATGTAAATTTTGGTAGTATGTGAGCCGAGATACAATGTTCAAGATCTCCATCATAAGGTCTGAGTTTGAAAGAAGTAATGCCTCGAGTTTGGCTGGATTTTTGTGCTCCTATACCGACTAATGGAAGTGATGATTTTCTTCGAGGAAGTTTAAGTCTTTGTACCAGACGTTCCGAAATTAAGGAAATTTCAGAGCCTTGATCTATTAAGGCTCGAACTCTGGAGATTTCTCCATTTTGTGCCACAACAGTTACCTGAGCGGTTGCCAAAAAAACGCATGATGAAATCTTCTGTGAAGATATCGAATGTAAGACGTGTGTATCAGTCGTCTTAGGAGCTGTCGCAGTAGATTCAATCGACTTTGTAGAACCAGACTCCGAGCAAGACGGTTGAGAATTGGCTTGATGGATTGTGGTATGGTGCTTGCGCCCACACTTGTGACAACGTTTTGGTATACGGCATGCTGACACTCGATGTTGTCCTAAGCAATTATAACATAACTTATTCTTTGTTATAATTGCCAATCGCTGCTGAACGGTTTTTGACGTATATTGCGGGCAATTTGATGTATAATGTTTTGCCGAACAAATTGAGCACGAGCTAGAGCTATTTGAGTTAGAGCTATTTGTCGGATCTGCAGCTCATTTACTCAATAGCTAGAGCTATTGAGTAAATGAGCTGCAGATCCGACAAGGCTAGTTTTTAAATATTGTAATTTCTCAACTGAACTCAAGGTAGGATTAGCTGAAATCAGAGAGGTGAATAAATCTTTGAAAGATAACCAATCTGCAGGTGTGCCATTAAATTTAGGTATGTCGATTCGTGGTAATCGAGCATGCTAATAAAAGGTTGGAAAGCTTGACGTCTGAGAAATAGATTGAGATGAGGCGGTTTTATGCATAGTCCTTTGCTCAGAATCGAGTATTATACTCATTTTCTCGACTGCCTCAAGGTAACATTCATGTGTCATGGAATATAGATTTTCTGAAAAATAGGAATATTTTTTTAACTGCGATTGTTCCTCTGGATTCAACTCAGTAGTTGCTAAGCCGATGGCTTCATGAGAAAGAGAGAATTTTTCCCAATTTTCTTTCAGAGAAGTGAGGCGAGCATTTACTCTATGAGAAGTGATATTTGATAACCCAACCTTGGTTAAGTTATCAACTGCGTTAGCAATTAAGTCCATCAGTATGAATAATATGTTATCGGTTTATGTGTGAATGTTATAATATATATATATATATATATATATATATATACGTAAGTTATATACAAGTGGTTTACCATAAGTGGCAAATGCTTTTAGCGCCATCTTGTATTAAAAACGGGAAACGTTCATTTTTCTGACAATGGAGAAGACTAGGACGTTTCTTAAGCGTAAATTTCGTGTTTCAAAGTTTGCTTTGTAATTTCTCTGTTCGTAGAACAATTAAAAGAAAAGTAAGCACACTTTTATTATATAATTCAAACTCAATCTACCGTTTAAGCTTAATAAGAACTCGATTCGTTCACCAGTTATTAAGAACTGATAATCTCAAATACTCTCAACTGGCTGACTCGTGTGTAAATACACGGGGTGCCTTGCTGCTGCTGCGTGTGACTTTGGCTGCGCGTGACTTGGCGCGAGACATTACCGTGTTTTTTGATATGCATAATTATCTTTTTTTCTTTCTTATTTATATTTGCAGTATTTAAAAATCTTAAAAAACCTTTTTTGTAACTTTTTTGAAGTCTTTTTATATAATATTTAAAATTAATTATTACTTTATATCAATCGTGCTTTATATCAGTATTGTAATCAAAATTATATTGCTTTGGTTATATTTTAATATAATATAAAGTTTAGAAATCTAAATTTTTGTAACTGTTTAACTTTTGATCTTGTATCAATTAAAAAAATAACGGAAATTGTAACGACTCATTACTATTTCAATAACGGTAACGATAACGAAACTAGTTTTAAAAGTTGGTAATAAATAATGGTAACAAGTTGCTTTTATAAAGTAACTTCTTAACCCTGATAATTATGTAATATTATTTATTACTAGAGTTGCATATATTAAACAATTTTTGATATTTTACAATTTGAAAACATTTTTTTATTATTTTTTATTATTTCTTTAAATAAGATTTATAAATATTTTTATTTATATACAGCGTGTAACAAAAAAATTGGAAACAAATGAAAGAGCGTATTCATTAGTGAAAAATAAAAGGTTTTTCGATGATGATTTATCCCCAATCTTTTTGTTACACCTTGTACAGTTTGATAACCAATATGTATTGGGAAAAAACATCCACCGCGGGAAGAGGGGTGCTAACGTAGCATAACAAACATGGCCGTCACGTCGACAGTATTAGCATTAGCTTTATATGGGTAATGATGTAAAAAAATTAAAAATTGTTGTTGATTTTATATGAAAATGTTGACACTTCGTTTGAATAATTTGTAAGTATACCCATGCATCACTATCGTCAAGAAATATGATCGAAGGCCAGAATGTTATTAATTCTGGTATAATAATAAAGTACGGCGCGACGGTAAAAATATAAAATAATAATAATAATGTAATGTCTGAAGCACTTTTTTTGGTAACACAGTTCTTATTTTTCCACAATTTCACTGAATGCCGCATGTAAACAATGCTAAAACTATCGACGCGGTGACTATATTGATCAGTTCACGCAGCGGCCGTAGTGTCGTACAGAATATTTAAACTCCCAATATGTTAGAAAATTTGCGCTACAAAAAGATAGTTTAAACAATATAAATTCAGAAATTACAAGTATATTAAAGGTATATTAAAGATATATTAAAATTGTCCCATTTCTTTTTAAATTAATATTTTTCAAAACGGAACTTTAAAAGTATTATTGTTAAAAGTATTATTATCCATTTTTAATAAATTTTCTATAACCTAATCCAAACCTATTTCTGATTTAAAACTAAAATTTGGTTTGGGTTAGGTTATATCTTCCGGAAGTGGAGCCCCCCCGCAGAGGGGCGGAACACTGCGTCCACGCATATACTTTTTCATCCATGCAACAATTGTGGTGCAGACTGTCTCTCTGTCTCTATATTATTACCCAAATGTTAACTTTAAATATGACAGAAACTATAAGAGACCGCCGGTTAAGTTATAAGGAAAAGTTACTCAGGGTTATGTCCTTGACAACGTATGTCAAGGTCAAAGTCATCGGTGAGGTGTGACCTAATATGCATATTTACCAATTTTCTTATGTATACACGGAAAAAAAAATTAGCTGCCGTAGCTAAAAACTGCGTGTGGTAACTAGATTTCAGTCGTAATATATGGACAGCGAACATCTTAGCTGTGACACCTATTTATTAGGTGCAACAGCAAACATCTTAGCTGTGATACCTATTTATTAAGTGGAACAGCAAACCGTTTTGCTGCAATTTAGAAATTTATTTTGCAAACCATGATTAGCTATGGTAGCGAAAATTTTTTTTTCCGTGTATTCATTACTTTCTCTAATATCACCATATAATAAAGCAAGCTCCAATAAATCTTATATGAATGACAAAAGTTCGTTTTGAAATGCAAAGAAAGTCGTTAAATAATTTAGAAAAAAAAGAAATCTAGAAAAAAACACAAACACAAGTACAAACATGGACATTGATACTAATTCAAATTGTTGTCAAATGGATCAAAAGATGCTATCGCACGTTAATCGGTGCGTATTCTTTGCATCTAAATGGTTCACCTGAGGGTCCAGCAGGAACTGGCAAAACTGAAACAACCAAGGATTTGAGTCGAGTTATTGCTGTGCAGTGTATAGTATTCAACTGTTCCGAAGGTCTCGATTACAAGAACATGGGCAAATTTTTCAAGGGTTTGGTGAGCTGCGGCGCGTGGTCTTGCTTCGATGAGTTTAATCGTATTGAATTGGAAGTGCTGTCAGTCGTGGCTCAACAAATGTTATGCATAGTGCAGGTAAGAAATATTATAGAATACGTACTTAAATCTTCCGTAACCTTTACATGAACTAGGGCTGTTTCTTTTGAGAACTCCGAAGATTAGATGCTTCGAAAAAATTTGAAGTTTCAAAGTTAACTTTGAAAAACTTTGAAGCTTCGAAAAATATATTCGTGCAAATAGTGAATTCATTTAATGAACGCTAAAAATATTATTCATAAAAAATTAATATATGCTTAAAGAATGTGCTATTACTCCTAAATCACACTTTTGAAGTATAATAACATGAAATATTACATATTTAATATAGAGTTTTAAATAAAGAGTCAAGCAGTTTTTATTGAATGAACATTTTGGCTTGATTTTGGTTTGATTGATTGAATGTTTGTGATAGTTGTCCGCCTATTGATGTGTTCGTTGGAAAGGTTGAATAACGAAGGTGGATTTCCTTTACGATGGATTTATTCTTGATTTTGATACGTGTATACTGTTACGTGCGCGAATCAATCTAGATCGATCTCGTCACTCTCAAACATTCACGCCGGAAATGATAAAACACTTTTAAGAAAAGGAATGAAGAACTTTAATAACTGATAATTCACAAACTGAATATTAATAGCAATTATAATAATATTTGTAGTCGTCAGAGAAATGCGTCCGTACGGTATGTCAACCGTCGCGAGACTAAGATGACGGGTCTCCGACAAGATGTCCACCGTTGTTTATGTTGAGTCGATGGTTTGTCGTATTCAATAATCAATTACAAGAGTTGATGATGCGCGTGATCCTAATGCGACGGAGTTCTGTAGACGAGCTAACCGATGCTCCCTCTTCTTTTATTTTTTTTCGCGCCGGTCCCTCGCACGCATCTCTAGTGGGTAACCGACAAGTCATTAGTCATTCAAGATCTGTGCAGTGGAAGTTCATAACAAGCACAATAAAGATTTATGACAAGCATAATAAAGATTCTTTTCGTTAATTTATACTGTGTTTGACATGAGACACAGAGACACTTTCCTTTCTTCTACTTCATTCCGGCAACAATAATAAAAGGAAATTACAACAACAGGTTATGGGCCCAGGCACCCTAACTGTGCAGTTTTATTGCCGGAAAAAGAGGGTCTGCTGAAAAAGTCGCGAGTTGAATCGCGAATGTATCAAGTAGCCACGTGTGCGAAACGGGCAGATCGGGCAGCCATTACGATACTACGAAGACTTCTCTTCGCGATATGAATGTTTTCAGGATAAGAATTGATAATTCGAGTTTCCGACCCGTTTTTTTCTTCGTTTCTTTACGAATCAAAAAAATGCCAGATGATTTTTCAGCGCAAATGGTGAAGAGATTTGACAGAACGAACTATCAGGGATAAAAGTTTCAAATTACGACGCTCATGGCAAACAACATTTTCGACGTAGTTGACGGATCGAGAATGCTATTGGCAAGCCGAGAAGAAGCAAATGAAGTGTTAGCGAAAAAGTAGATTCGTGATTGTTAACGTAATAGAATGGATCTGATTGGAATAATGATCTAAATTGAAATGAGAATTTGCAAGAATTTTTAACACGTGTTTTTTTTTAATATCTTTATTTGGACTAACATACAAAGGAGTAAGGTGTGACAGCAACGAGAGTATTCGTGCGCGCTTGCGCTTAAAAGGAAAGACACTCTCGGAAATCCTTAATACTGTACTATCCAGGGTTAGGTTCCAAAACTGTTGTTAGGGGCAACGAAAGATAAATGAGAGTAAAACATTGGAAATGCATGACGAAACAAGAATAATCCATGTTTCGGAACGCAACTAGAGGGAAAAAATGGCGCGACGAAGACTCCTTGGTTTAATGCAGTGATCGACAAAAAAGTAATATTCATTTTATCAACCCTCAAGCTAATCCCAGCTTTTTATGCATGTTCCTCGTAAATTTTAAGTAGTACAACTCAGCACAACTCGCAGAATTCAATTATCTGTCACCGTTCGCAAGTTACAGGAATTTGAAATTTTTTATTCCTAAAAATTCCTAACGTCTGATTCCTAACTTTGTCTGTGCTACGAAATCTAGCGATCTGAGGAAATTTTGTCATTTGGAAAAGTTGTTGTGCTGCTTTAGCACAACCAAAAAAAATTCGAAAATGTCAAATTTTTTATTCACTCCCACCCCTTTTTCATAAATTTTTATCAACCTTTAAGTTTTTCAAGACTTTTATCTCTTGCTTTTACTTTATATTGAACGTAGTAAAAAAGCACAACTTGTAGAAATTTTATATTTGCGTTGCAGTATGATTTATATATGGTTTTTATCTATTTTTGTAAATTTTTTTTAGCGAAACGGAATGAGATATTGAAATTTTTCCAACGGCACAACACGGCACAGA